CTCCTCCTACCACCGTACGTGTGTGTGTGTGTGTGTGTGTGTGTGTGTGTGTACCTTAGGTTAAAGCCTGTGCGGCGGGGATATTAATCTTATTTGTGCTGCTGAAACCTAAAATGAAGCAGTGGAATTTAGACTACTACCATTCCTGTTGTTGGCCTGCATCTAGGGCAGTGAGTTTCTTTTCCCAGGTGTACTTCTGAGTAACACATGCTCTGATTGTCTCCTCCCCTCCCCCCCCCAAATTCAAAGGGTGACCTAGAAACCTGTGCATTAGAGGTCTTCGTACCATCATTCCTGACACAGCAGGGACCTCAGATCGCCTACACCCTTTCTCTGATATTCCCGTGTTGGGGACTGTCTGTTTTTGTAGACTGTACAGTGCCAAGCAATTGTCTGCACTGAACAAGTAGGAGAGCCTCTTTCCAGTCAAGTTGGAGTCCAGGGGGACAAATGATAAACTACTCAAAATGTTATGGGACAAGCCAAAAAAAACCCATATGTATACTGGCATCTTGCTGGCTGATATGTTTTACCTGCCATGGAAGGCTCCTCGCTACCTTAACCCCAGCACCAGAGGGCATAATTCCTCTTCTCTTTCACCTTGTAATTCTCCAGGGGTTCTATTCCTTCGCCTTAATACTTCAGTTAATTCTGCCAGCAACACGTTATCCCAGGCAATGGAGGAGTTTTGAAAGCCATCTGCCAGGCAGTAGAGGGTGCTCATGTGATGATGAAATGCATTGTCCAGACAGCCCCCTGAACTCCTCTGCTCAGAGCAGCTGACAGCCTAAGGTCACTCCAAAACCCCACTTCATGGCAGCCTCCTCTGGGGCTGATACTCTGTGCACTGGGTCTCTGGGATACTTGGATTTGCTAAAGCTTCTCTTCCTATGTGACCAAATCACTGTATAGTTAAAGGGGTTGTGAGACTGAGTAGGGAACTTTCTTTTTTCCGGTCATTTCCATGGGGCACGTTCCTGAGGCGAAGTACGTTTGGGGTCATGCTGTGCTGGTTTGGAGTTCAAGTGAGTGCAGCAGTGCATGTGCACCATAGTATATTTCCTGGCAAGAGTGAATAGGAGACTGACAATAATACCCACCGGTTAAATCCATTCACTATATCAACCAGCACCACTCTCTTCTTGGGTGAAGCATGGGATTTCCTTTCATCCATACGCGTCCATCCTTCTGCTTCCAGTGTCTGTATCCGTGAACATCTCCCTGTCCTTTCTTATGCCAGGAATGAAATGGAATGACAGGAAAGCAACATACAGTAGCAGCTCATGTGGAGGTTTTGTTGTTCCTATCTGATCCAAATACAAAGAAAAAGATTAAAACTGTTTCCCCATAAAAACCCGTCACGGGTAGAGGAGATGTAGTTTCATGTGTGGGTATTACAATCTTTTGTGTAGGTTTTATTTCACTTTATAATGGGAATACTTGTTTTCTTTCAGTTCAGTTATATCAGTGGCTTCCCCCCCCCTTTGATTCAAAGACCTCACTTATATAACCTTTTTGTGGTTATATGCCACTACAGTTGCAGTTAATAATTCTATGGAGGGGGGAGGATTCATAACCCATCCTCACTCCAATCTGTTTTAGGGGGAGCGTACAGAGGGAAAGCTCAGAAGGGCGTTGGTTACTCAGTGAGCATCGCATGGGAGATTTCTAGCATCCCTGCAACCAGCCATTCAGATCTCAATGGTTCTTCATTCTTCTAGTTGATTTTCACTCTGCTGTCTTCTCTACATGAACGTTAGATCCCATGGCATTGGCACCTTCTAAAATAAGAGCAGATTTGATTGCTCCCCCCACCCCAGACCACTCCCCATTGCTATCCATCAATTGCTTTCTCTGGGTTCTGCCCCCCAACCCCTGAAGAGTTGTACAGTTGTGAGAGAACTATTTCATAAAGGCCATGGACTGCTCTGATGCTGTTAGTAGTGATCTCTTGGAATGAAAACCTCTGTGTAAACATATGTTGTTTTGTTGGGGTGAAAAATCATCTTCCAATGAGATTCCCTCAAACCCCTCAGCCTGAGAGATGGACAGCACTGTAGATAGAATGCATTATGCTCTGGGGAGGGAGCAGAATAGCTGTCCCAGCTGGTTGAATTCAGGAACAATACCTGTGATCTCTGAACCTTCAGGTTCTCCCTGGGCTGACTTGGCTTAGTGCAGGCTCTCAGAGGAGATGGGTGTCTCTAAAAGGGCACTGTCAATTTGAAACGTAGTCCATAGCCAAACATTAGTTCAAAGTCATTTCAAGTAGCTTACCTACCCCTGAGCCCCATGATAAAAGTTATGGTTATACAGTCACACTTTCCCATTGATTTTAAATGTGTTTTTCTGCCCTGTTTCTGCATGAGAGCACCACCCAAACAATAGGGAAACTGACTGGCTTTACAGGAGAAACAGTGAAATGGACTACCCACAAAGTGCTGCTAGAGGCACAAAGGAAACAAGCTGTGAAAACAGAAATATTTTTTTCTCTAATCTCTTTCAGAGACTGTGATCTTAGGTATTTTTTGTAACAATAGTAGGTAAAAATTATTCAGGCAAGAGTGTGATTGTTAACTTGGTGGGTCTTTTAAGGCCGATTTTAGTCCTCTTCTGGAGCAGAGGTTCTCAGATTTGTTCATAGTGTGGACTACTATTTAACATGAGCTGCCTTCTTTCTCATTGCTTATGATTCAGACCATTTGCAATTCTGTCACATCCCTGTGGCAACAGGGAGCATCACTGACATGGGACAGTAAGGAGAAAGCGTCCCGTGTGCTTTTTGTTGATTTTAATGCAATATAGGAGGCATCAGCCTTGTGCGCCCTGCCACAGATCATGAAGCACATGTTTTGCAGATCACCAGTGGTCCACAAGCCACAATTCAAGAACCTTCGCTCCGGAGCTTGGAAAACCCCAGTTCCCCTCACCTGGAAAGAATGCAGGACATGCTGCATCTTGATCACAAATGCCAGGCAGCATCCACCCTGAAAAGGAAGTTTGTCAAATCCATGCATTTAGAGACAGGATGGGGTTGGATGACAGTAACAGTATTGTCTGAATTTATTTATTTATTTAGGGCTTGACCCCTTTTTCTCAGGACCCATCACACTTCTGGATGTCTGTCTTCATAGTTGTTCACTTAATATGAGTTTTCGAGACGATGGCCTCTGGTGCTTAAAATCCTAGAGAGTTAAAGTGGCAGTAGCAATGTGGATTCAACTGAAGGTCTTCTTATTCTGTTTGGAATCAAAATGCAGACAAGGGAATCTTGTATTTTCACTCTGGGACCTTAAACTCCTTAGGCATCTGGTACATGAAGGCAGTGTTCTATGGGTCTGACCACTGAAATAACATCAGGCCAGTTGGATTCCACATACAGACATATATATTTTAATTAATGTACTGTTTTCTGGGTCTGTTGAAAACCTATGGCATTGGTGTGTCTTTCTCTTGACAGAATCACCTGACTGATAGTACCTCAACCCCTGTCCAGAAAGTCTTCAGTTGATACTATCCTGTTCTGTAGTCTTCTCATTCATAGTCCTTTTTCTCATTGTAAGAAACTGGGCGTGTTTTCTTGAAACACCCCACCCTGGTAGCAGGGGCTGATATTTCTGGGAAATGGTTATGTGGATTCTGGTTGCTCATCTCACCTGGATAGGAGAGGTGGGCATGGCTCTCTGGGGAGAGGATATGGTGTGCGGGCTGAGTAGTGTGTAGGGAGGAATCCAAGTAATAGCTAGGGCTAGGGAGGAGGTTTGAGCTAAACTTTCTTACTGTTAATGTCTGTTAATAAAACCAAATCTCAGGGAGGATTTGGATTCTGTATAATGTGTAGAGTGGCTGGGAGCAGGCTGGAAAAGACACCTTGTATTTTATTCAGCCGTTCAGTTCTGTAGCTGTCCTGACACCTGTTGTATGTTCATTTCAACTCAGAGCTTTAGCAACGTCTAGTATGTTTGGCCCTAAAGTATTCTGACATTTTCTGATCATCTGGGAAATACTTTTGCAGTGAACAAATCAGTCTTCTTCCCTTATCTGTTATAATCTGTAGGATTATGTTGTTCATAAAGCACTTTAATGTCCTTGTATAATTACGGGTGCCATTAACATGTTGTCATAATGCTTCCTCGCTGTTCTTATGATTTTGTGTCATTAACATCTGACTGACCTTCACCCCCATCGTATCCGTTTGAAGACTGTCACTCGTCTTGCCATAGTTGGTTTCACTTCCTGCTGCTGGTGTGCAAGTATATAATCAGTCTAGTTAACTTCAGACTAATGTCCTTCGATCCTTGATGTAAAGAGGAGACGTTTGTTTCTCTGGCACATGTTTGGCTTTAACAGGTTGGCTTTAACACAGCCACAGGTTCTCCCTGGGAACAGAGCCTGGTTTAGACAGAAAATTGATGGTCTAGGTGGATACATTCCTCTGAATTAAATGCATGTTTCATTTTTTTTCCTGCAATGCTAGTGGTTGCCCATTTTGTGCCATAAATTCCATTGTTCTCATCAACAGTTATTCTGGGCCTTTGATTTCAATTTTACTGATGGTTCATTATTACATCCTGCTCGCTGTTCTCAGCCCACAACAGGGTAAAGGCCTTTCAGCCCTCTTCCTATCCTCCATCCAGAGCTGCTTTTCATAGCCCGGTGCAGAACAAAGAACTCTTCCGCCCTGGGAAACGGTTTGGCTGGAATGAATTTGAGCGTGCAGCCACCATGGTTTCACTCTACAGAGCCAGTACTGTTGTTCCCAATGGCATCTCAGCTGTCTTGTCAAACTTGTACTGTTTTGTTGATTTAGATGGTTTTGTTGATCGCTGCTTCTTGCCAGCTAGTTGTCTTAAAATGCTGGACTGGCCAACGAGTGTTTAATAACCAAAAGCATCTGTTTTTCCTCCTTTATTAAAATTCAAGCCATCCAACGGCCCTTGATGCACCCCATCCTAAGTCAGTGCTCAGCTGTTGCTTCTTAACACCTTCTGGCGGCTGTGATGATGCAGTGCCTTGCACTTCTTTTTCTGTGGATGCCGTGGTCACCTCTTAGCTACCCACAGAGAAATTCAAAAAGAGCCTGGGATCCCCCAAACTGCAGAAAAAGTTGCCACTGTGCATGAGAATAAGGGTTGTTTTGTTTTGTAAAGTTTCCATAGTCTCCATCAACGGTCTGAGCACCATTTGCTTCTTGCTCGATTTGTGGAGCAAGCCTGGTGTGCAAGTGTGCAGGGCTACGGTCTCTGATCCCGTGTGCCATCTATGCCAGGCCCAGCGTTCACCCCCAGCCACTACCTGTGAATAGCAGCGGATAGTGAGATGGTGGTTTTGTTAGGCAAACCTACGGTCATATCTTTTTACCAAGATGAAGATGGTTGTGGTCTATCTGACAATGCTCTCCTTTGAACGGGGAGCACTGCAATTGGTATTTTCTTCTTAAAATTCCTGGCATAACTGAGGCTCTTACCTCTCCTTCACACGCCTGCACTAAGAGCGTGGAAATCTGTGCACCCTGTGAGTTTGTTTCAGCTGAACAGAATTCGTAATCTGCTTAGCCCGTATGATCCACCTTGTTAATACTGTTCGGTTATGGAACAGTGCGCCCTTTTGTTCGGAACCACTGGGTCCAATGGGCGGGATCGCTCTTTAAGGAGCGTGCGGCACCCAGCGCCTCGCTTCTGTCTGTGCCACTCATGGGAACCTGAGCGCAGGGAGATCTGCCTCTGTGTGTGGATTGTCCATAGAATAAAAACAGGACCACGGCTTCAGCATCCAGAAAATAACACTGGCAAGCACATTTTGACCATCATTCAGGAGCAACCCATAAGGAAGAATGTAAGGCTGTTGCAGTCGCTGGGGGAGATAAAAATCAGGGGGGGGAGAATCCTTATGGGATGGAAACCAGGTATAACATACAAGGTGCAGATGTAGATGGCTAGGTGCAGGGTTTCCACCTGTGAAAGGAGGGTGGGGGCCAGCAACCAGCAGTCTCAAGGTGAACCTGCAAAGAGGGGGCAATTTAATAATGAAAAGTGCTGACCCGGTGTGTTCTGGTGTTACTCTAGGTTAGATTGCAGGTAGGGGAAGGAAATGTGTGGGGGTAGCCGATGAAAGTGAGCCGCCCTCCAGCGCTTTGGGAGGAAGCCTGGAATGAGGCAGCTCCTCATAGGAAGAGGATTTAATAAGGGATGGAAGTGGAGCCAAAGCAAAGGAGTTTTGTTTCTCCCCCCCATGTCGTGACCATTTTATGAACCCTGCCCGAGAGGGACTCTGTAGGTCTTAGATCTGCCTTTGTTTCCAAGTGCTCTGTGGCGTTCCCTAACCTGATCAGCAAGCTGCCTGCCTCTCTTCTGCATAAACGGCTGGGCATTTCCTGCAAGGAACAGGCCATGTTCTGTTACTGGACATGCCGTGAAACCCCTTAATAATGTGGAAAAATCTGGCTGTGCATCCCAGGCGAGAGGCGTTCCTGGCCTGTATGATTCCTCGATGTTGGGCCGTTTGTGACATCAGACAGTAGCTGCCTCTATAAAAACCTGGAGCCGTGTTCCCGGGGAGTCCATTTGTGCGTGCTGGGAGTTTGCTTAGCAGGTAAGTAGCTGTGAAGGGGAGACTTGCCTGCAAAGGGAGCCTCTGACTTTTTTTCCTTTTCAATGACGCCAGGTTACAAGACAGATCCATGAGCATGAGCAGGAGAACGAGTTGCGGGAACAGATGTCAGGTTATAAGCGGATGCGGCGCCAGCACCAGAAGCAGCTGATCGCCCTGGAGAACAAGTTGAAGGCCGAGATGGACGAGCACCGCCTCAAGCTGCAGAAGGAGGTGGAGACCCATGCCAACAACTCGTCCATTGAGCTGGAGAAGCTGGCCAAGAAGCAAGTGGCTATCATGGAGAAGGAGGTCAGTAATTATATGAATTACATATCTGGGCCGGGAGACTGAACAGGAAAGCACTGCAAGTGATCTCCAGGGAAAGACTGTTCAACCATATCTAAAACATGTGTTTTGGGAGCTGTACGTGGCGACTGTCTGAGGGTGCTTTGGTAGCTTGTTTTACCCAAACCAGCTGGATCTCAGTCTAGTTCGTAATGGACAGTTGTCCCCAAGCACCAGTTGGCCGTAACTAGTAACACTGCTGACTGAACTGACCTCATAGCCCTAGACGTGATGGTTCTAGGTCATGGGGTGAGACATGTTAATTGGTAGGATACAGAAGTTTGCACTGTCCAAGCCTTGAGAATGAACGATTTCACATTTGGTTTTGGTGGAGGAGACAGGAAACCGAAAGAAATTCCTAAATGTATGTGGGTGGTAAAAATTTTTACAATTAAACTTTCACGTGGTTGAATAGTGACAGGCACTAGGGCCTTGCACCGCAGGGTTCGGAGGGACAGAATGCACAATTACAGCTTGCTTGGCGATAGACTTGGTGCACTCGCTCACTCACTCTCTCTCTCTCTCTCTCTCTCTCTCTCTCTCGTCGTACGTACGTACGTA